GAGACAAAATAACAGAAACACCTAGAGCACAGTGCTTATTTTAGCAGTACAATTACGCGTATTTTTTGTGATCCATAATAAACACATTTCATTGTTGTATGTTTTTCTGGAAGGAGCTCGGTGTGACTATAAGCGAAAGACACCTGTGTCTTAATTAAAGTCGGCTGACTTCTGGCTTACCGTGGCCCTTCGTGCCACTCGTCAGATCTGTTCCCCAGGGGTGCAATTTACTCGCACCCCTTTGCCACCCTCTTCCACCCGTACCAGTGGCGAGCAGAGCGCGCCCAGTTCTCATCCACCTTCGTTCTAGACTCTTGAATACGGCTACTGATTTCCTCGCCTTTCATCCTTCAACTTTGATTTATTTATTCCTGCGATAGAAACTTGGAATTCCTATCGACATTAACCGGAAAGTGTGTGTTCTAAACAGCACTCTTTTTAATAATATTTCGTGTGCCTTTGATATATAATTATTCATTTTCCTCCAACGAAGACCGTGTTGAGTATTCAATCTTTATCTTATTTTCCATGTTTTTTCTAGAAAAATAATTTATCCAAATTTTTAGCAAATAACGCAGTATTTCTGCTGTCTCAACCCTTTATATTTTCATCTATATTTCAAAATTCTCATTTACTTCACTGCTATACAATTGACTTATATTTTTTCCAATCAAAATTTTGCGCAAACACAGTATTTCTGCTGCCTCAATCCTTTGTATTTTTATTTATATTTCAAAATTCTCATTTTTTTTTCACTGTTGTACTGTTGAATGATATTTTTATATCGTCACATTATTACCAGCCAATTTGTATATAACAATTATCAATTCTTCCTTCTCCCATCAAAATGAAAAATTGCAGTCAACCATGTTCACAGGGGGTTGCTAAAATTATTAGTGAAATATTTCCGCGTAAAGAAGACTATAGCAGATCGTTTAGAAAAATGTCCCTTCCATTAGAAGTATTAAAAATTTCGAATGCTCTACATAATTGCACGGTGGTACAGTATCGCGAAAACAACGCGAGAAAAAGAGACGAAAAAAGAAATGAAACTGGAACGCGTTGTTCGCGGCGTAACATCTCTCCTTACTTCAGAAGCGAGTATCCTCTTTAAAAATCCGGTTGGGTCGAGGCGGTGGGTAGTCTTTCCTTGGTCTTCACTATGTAAAACAGCCTCTATTCCCTTTTGTCCATCGGTCGGGTCAGCCTTGATCGTTAAAGTTCTGACCGGGGTGGTGACAGGTACTGTGAACGGACAAGAGTTTATCGTTTTCTGCTCCGTTCGATATTTATGTAGTATCTAAAAAGCAGTATTCCCTCGGATTCTTTTGAGATTTTCATGCAGCCGAATCTTTCTCCCCGAATTCACCTCGTTCGTGACGTTTTAGGTGCACGGTTTTTTTCCGTAGGTGAAAAAGAAAAAAGATGGGGAAAGCGTGTATCGATCAGAATAACTAAAGCAGGAAATTCTCGTACGATCTGTTTTCCATATGTGGATAAATACTTGTATTAGGTAGATACGTGGTGAAATGTGTAAACTTTCTTTGGAATGCTTTTTCAGAAATTAGAAATTTTTGTGACGATGGAAGAGAAGTGTAGGGGATTTTTGTGTGATAGGGATAGTAAACTCGAACGGACTTTTGACTATGCTATATTTATTAATAGTTTATATCGCTACGCTAGGGATGTCGCTCAATCAATCGCTGGATTCACACTGCCTTTCGCTCCCTCGCATTCGCCCTAATGTCATCTTGCATACATGCACACTTTTCGTTAGAAGAAAACACACACGCACTCACGCACTCCTCGCCTGATTACTAAAACTAAACATTCGTTCAATATCTTTCGCGCTATCCCAAACACTCGACCTGGCACGCCGGTCCTTACCGCTCACGCCATAGACCCTCACGCATTCATACAGACAACGCATTCATACAAACAACGCACTCACGCTCGGTCATCCCTACAGAAGTAATGAGAAAAAATTTGGGTAACTTGAGAAATAGGAAGATAATAAAATTATTGTGCTGCTTTCCTTGTTTATAGTTACAGAAACGGGAAGATTATTTTGCGATAATGATTATTATTATTGTTAGAGGGATAAGAGATTATCATTCCTTATGTCAGATGACGACCGCTACCGATTTACTTTTTCATCGCCGTGTGGTCGACAACGTTCACTTAAGTCGTTTGTTTTTAACTCTGTCATTGCGTTATGTTCACTTCGCTCTGACCGCGTTTTCTCAGTTCTAATAAACTTTTTGTATTTGAAAAGGTGTTCTCGTTAATCCTCTGCCTTCAGCAATTACGATAGTGAAAATAATTATAAGTATGTATAAATTAATAAAATAAATGATAAAATTAAAAAATTTTAAATTGTTAGAGATGGAAATTAAATTGAAGTAATAGAATTAGCAAGGTAATTATGTTACGTTTGACAAACACGATTAATTCCCGAGACAATGTACCTCGCAAAACAGTCTTTAAATATAGAACAAACATGTTTTCTTACATCTGCACTGACTCTTTTCTTGCACCGAAACCTTCATCGCTGTAAAAACTTCTATTTGAAGATTCAATTCTCCTCGGTTGGCATTCCAACAGCCAACCTGTTAACTTGCACGACAAAACGCGGACATAAACACGTCCGGCGCGATTTATTATCTTAATACTTGGGCGAGAGACCGCCTGAAGTGTGTTTCCCAGCTAGTCGAGGCCTGTAATCACGTTGAAGACAGTTCGGTTCCCAAGGCTTTTTCGGCGACGTTATAAATGGTCGCTATAAACGCTCGTGTCAGTGTTGCAATGCCACGAAATGGCGCGATGGTTAGCGGCTAGGGAGGCTGCACACCATTAGCTTCCAGGTGTTCGATATCCCAGCCACGCCATCATTTCCTCATTCCAGGCGATCATGCTCTACATCATCCCCCGAATGGCAGTGTAAGTTTCACTATCGTGTCCACGATACACCTGTGAGAGAGCGCGACGCTGGAGGATGGGAACAGAGGGTGAGAAATAGAGAGAGGGAGAGAAATAGAGGAGGAGAGAGAAATAGAGAAATAGAGAAATAGAGAGTGAGAGAAATAGAGAAAGAGAGACAGCGAGAGTGAGAGAAAGCAAGGGAGAGACAAAGAGAGTGAGAGAAAGCAAGGGAGAGACAGAGAGAGTGAGAGAAAGCAAGGGAGAGAGGGAGAGTGAGAGAAGGCAAGGGAGAGACAAAGAGAGTGAGAGAAAGCAAGGGAGAGACAAAGAGAGTGCGAGAAAGCAATGGAGAGTCAAAGAGAGTGAGAGAAAGTAAGGGAGAGACAAAGAGAGTGAGAGAAAGCAAGGGAGAGACAAAGAGAGTGAGAGAAAGCAAGGGAGAGACAAAGAGAGTGAGAGGAAGCAAGGGAGAGTCAAAGAGAGTGAGAGAAAGTAAGGGAGAGACAAAGAGAGTGAGAGAAAGCAAGGGAGAGACAGAGAGTGAGAGAAGGAGGAAGCAAGGGAGAGACAGAGAGAGTGAGAGAAGACAAGGGAGAGACAGAGAGAGTGAGAGAAAGCAAGGGAGAGAGGGAGAGTGAGAGAAGGCAAGGGAGAGACAGAGAGAGTGAGAGAAAGCAAGGGAGAGACAAAGAGAGTGAGAGAAAGCAAGGGAGAGACAAAGAGAGTGAGAGAAGACAAGGGAGAGAGAGAGAGAGTGACAGAATGCAAGGGAGAGAAAGAGAGAAATAGAGAGTTAGGGGAGGTAAATAATCCTCACCATAATCTCTAAAGTTCTTGGAAATCGTAGCTAATGGGGTTTATGAAGTTTCCTCGCTGATACATCGTGATAAACGTAGAATCGTGGTTTTGTTCTTGTTGATGGTACAATATAGTAGAGTGTTAATGTAGTTTCGCGTGGAGAGGCTGGCAGGAATTAATTAGATCGTTGGATTAAGTTCGTTTATTGGTGAACCGAATCGATGTGCTGTTTAAAAGGAGGCCACCTGTTGTATGTATAATTCGTTGCAATAGCTGATTCCTGTTGCACGGGATTCTGATCTGCTCGTTTCATTTAATCGTCTACTCCTAATTTCTCCTTTTATATCAAACAGTTATCTGGGGCATATAAAATGATTTTCTCGTCTGATTAGCGAAATAGCACGTTCCGATCCAGTAATTTTCAAAGCTTCAAATTTTTATTACAGATTCAATTTAACGCGAGTTTCGTTTTACGTCTGATCGATTCGGCAAGTTTGGAAATTTGCGAATTTATCACAGTTCGATTTCGGTATTCAAGTTAATTCAGTCCGGATGAAATATCTTTTCTTCTTAAGCCGACCTAATTGATGGTAACGTAATTAATAGCGTGGTATTCAATGTGCTTGAACTGTCTTCTGGAACAATATATGCTCGGATACGAATCGATACTTGGAAGTACCAAGGCAGCTTGTACGTCTTCCCGTTATGCGCCAGCAAGATTAAGAACGCCTCGCTGTATTACGAAACGTACCGTATAAATAAAGCTTCGATTATGAACCGTGAAAGTGGCAATAGAGGTTTCACGTCAATTCGTATTCTTTAATTTAATACACACGACGAAATATCTGTTGTACAAACTTGTCCATTAAATGTACAAGAAAATTCATATATTATAAGATAGGTAATTAGATTCCATTTAAGAAAATGATATTATTCATCTAGCCATTTCCCATTCGAAATAAGTCACTTCTAAATTTCTCAAATAACTCACTGCTTCTCGGGTACATTCATCGATGACAGAATTTCCGAACGACAAAAATTTCATTTTTCAAATTCGAAAATTGTAGACATGAAATTTCGAAAATTTTTAGCTAAAATGATTCCTCGAAAATGAAAATCAAACTAAAAATTAAAAATTTCGATTTCCACAACTCGAGAAGGATCAAATTGAAAGAAATGCAGAAAACGTTCCTCAAGAGATACACACACCTACGTACTCTCCACTTAGGTAACAGTCTCACAAGCGTTTTCAGGCTGATATATTTAATCGAGCGGGAAATTTAATTAGCGAACTCGCAAGATCTCTCGTGAGCGAATTTCCTGGACGGTTGGAACATAGCGTTGCATCCGTTATACTTATAACTGCATTCCTCCATCCTGTAATTGCACTTTTCCTCATGCGTCTCCAAACGGCTACGCTTCGGCCTCACTCTACAGCCGTGTTCGGCCCATCTGCACGACAATTGCTCGTTCGGGTCGTACTCGCCCTCCGACGAAGACTCCGTGTCCTCCTGATGATACTTCCGGTAGTTGCATTTCTCTTGGTGCAACAGTTTTCGCTTCCTACGCATGTTCACCATGCAACCGTATCTTCGAAATTTACATTCGACCAACTCTTCCGGGTCGCTGTAGTCGTCGCTGGAGATCGTCGTCTGTTCCAATCCCTCGCTGATGTTCATCTCGTCGAAACGGTCTTTATAGATGCAGTGATTCTCGTGAATCGAAATTCTCCAGGGTGACGTTCTCACTTTGCAGCCCACCACCCAATGCCTGCACTCCACCAAATCGTCGTGCTTGTGAGCCACGTCCGTGGGAAGGTATTCCTCTTCCAAGTGAGGACGGAACTGACATCTGAAACGTGCAGAAGAAAGACGTTGTAATTGCACCAATATTCTCTTGGAACGAAAAATTTCTTTAAGGTGTATTCTTCTTTTTTTTTGTTTGGAGATTTGAATTTTTGGAACTTCGAGATATGGAAAGATTTCTCTTCTTCTTACTAGTACACTTGATGTAACATTCTTTGTTTATGTCGCGTGTTATCTTCGTGTTATCACCTAAATTCTGCAAGTCGAATTTTACAAGGCACAGCAAGAAAAGAAAGATAACATTGTAAATTAAGTACATTGTGCGAGACAGTTTTAATCCCTGTCTGCAGATATTCGGTTTCACAATTTTGCAAGTCTTTGTTTGAACAATTTATATGAAATATCGTTCTCATTCTGCGAATTGAAAATTATTGCAAATTATGGTTTAATATTGTGATTAATATTTCTTACCGAGACTCGTGCAGATCCACTAGATATATCGGTACTTTCACCCAGCATCCCAAGTGAGTGTATTTACAGGCCGTCAGGTCCTGATCTTCAGGTGGCGGAGGTGGGTGCCATTGGTGTCTTTCGTGTTCGTGAAAATCGTCCACCGACGGAGCAGAGGGATGATGCTCGTGGAATTTCGGTGGCAGAGGATGAGGCATGAAGTGAGTGGGCGGTGGTAGAGAGTAAGACGGGTTGGCCTGTGCAGACGGCATTTCCATTTCTAATGGCGAGTTACAGGTGGGACAGTTGTAGTAATAAGGTTTGCAACGGTAGCAAATAGCGTGCTGGTTAATGCAAGTGTATCTGGGAGCGAGTTCCATTTCCATCAAGCAGATCGGACAGAGGCCCTCGCTTTTGAAGCGATCGTGCAGGTTCGGGTATAGGGTGTCCATGATCTGTTCTGAAAAATTCAAATTATTCTATGGAACGCGAGAGTTATCGTAGAAAAATATTTTTGTTTATTATGAATTTTTGAAATTTGGTTAAATATGAGAAATTTGTTTTTCTGGACGTAGAACGATGTGAAATCGACGAGAAATATAAAATTAGTACAATAAAATATTTTCGTTTCTAGTGAATTTTCAAAATTTGGTTAAATATGAGAAATTTTTTGGCGTGAACGCAAGAAAAAGTAGAAGTGTGACACGAAATCTACGAGTAATGTAAAATTAGTGTAATAAAATATTTTCGTTTATAGTGAATTATTAAAATTTGGTCAGATATGGGAAATTTTTTGGCGTGAACGTACAATAAAATAAAAGTGCGATGCGAACTGGATGAGTAATACAAAATTCTCGCGAGGCGAACTTTCTGTGTGTTAAGAACAATTAAAGATAAGTGTCACTCTTTCGTCAGATAAGAGTCACTCTTTCGTTAGATAAGAGCAATGTGTAATCAGTTGGATGATTGTCAGGCCGGACACTATCGCCACGGACTTTACCTATCCGTCGTAAACTATAAAAAATAATCGTGGCACCAATCATATATGGGCAAAACTGATATCATACACCACATAAACCAAAAAGCCTTAAATCAATTAAAATCGACCAATTTATCTCATCTTTGAGGACGATTTTCACCCCATCAACGTGAATAATTGCCAATAAAAAAACAACGTCTCAGATATTCTTTTTAGTACCATAATATACAAAAATTTCATCGATATCGGAATCTTCCCTTCTTAGAATAATAAATAATTCACTAATTGCAATTACCAAGTTAGTCACTCAAGTTACGTTCAATTTTCCACCTTTTCTGTATCCCTCAAGTCTATGGATCGCATAAGCGACATTTCTTCGTCCACACCATACGCACACACACGCACACAAGCACGGTGGAATACCTTAAAATCGATCCTGGTGAATTTACTCACTCGACTGGTTGTGTTCTCGTCCTTGCACGGCCGTTGGGCGAAACTGAAATTGCGGACACGCGGAGCAAAGGGAGAGAGAAAAATAGCCGTCGCGGCACGTACGCCTCCGTAACAACCGGCACTGTGTATCATCGTCGAACTGTCAGCGTTCCCTTATTTGCCAAGACCGATAGCGCGACTTTATCTGATAAAGCCCCGCGCTCTCCTGATAGGGGACCATTTTCACCCAGTCGCCGGAGACACGGCGATGTTCGCGACGCGACGACCGGACGATTTCCGCCACCACCGCGGAAAATAAAATCGACGAAGGGGGGAATCGTCGTCGTCGTCGTCTTCGTTATTATGCACGCGTCGTCGAAACGAAACGGTAACAGACGCATTTATTACCGCGTCGTGTTTCCACGACGGGAGGAGTAGAGAGAAAAAATGGAGAATGGAATTGGAGATTGCGAGGTTCTTGTTCAATTTTCTGCGACGGGAATTAATTTGTTGGATATGAGAGATGCGTGTGTATATACGCTGTTGGTCAAAAGTTTGGGCTACTTGTCGATTTTTGATCATTTTTAATGTGCTTGCAGTTTTTATTGGCAATTTTGGTTTGCACAATATTATGCATCTATTGGAAGTTCAAAATAGCACAGAATTAAATTTAAAAAATTATAAGTGGTTTTTGTAATATCTGGTAGGTGAAATAATTTTCTACCCGAAATTCTACTTTTTTGACTATATTCTCGAAAATATAAATTTGCATAAAAATCGGCAGTCTAGCAATGAGCGATCGGTGTAATAGATTTCTTACTATAATGTGATCTTTACCATCTGTGAAATGTCGCATAGCAATTAGGTTGTTCCATATGAAATGACTAAAGTGTCGATGAAAATTTCCACGTCTCTAATTTTACTAAAAGTAATAATTTGCATACAATGTGTGCTGAAAAACCACTGATCGTGTTGCTTTAACTTCAATCTTCAAATTAAGAACAAAATTCTCAAGTTCTCACACACTTCTGAAATCTACCATACAAAAATGCACAATGCATAAAAAATAGGAAATTTAATTGCAGGGCTTTTTCCTCGATTAATTTGCTACAATACTGAAACGATTCTTTTTTAGAGCGCGTTAATTAAAAGGGTTAATTAGGGAAAACGTAGGTGCGAGTCGATGATAGGCACGGTTGGTGTCGGACGATAGCGCGGCCATGTTTCACATCGAACATCGTAACACGTGACGGATTTCTGTTTCCACTTTGATTACCTGACTGGTCGCCGGTGACAGTTAATTATGGATGAAAAATCGTAACTGGCCAGCGTCACCCTTCGAACGGCACAGTCTCGTTACGCAGCTTCCATTTTGGTCCCCTCAACGATGGTCATCGTTGATAATCTTCGCGTGAAATCTGGGATTATGTTTCACGGGTCGCGTTCCTTCGCGCAACCCCTGTTGCTTCGAATATTTCAACGATTCGTGGGCTGCTTTCGGATCGTTATGTTCACTTTGTTTCAGTCTTTCGAATATCTTTTTGTTTCTCGATCAAAATTTTACTACGATGGACTTTTTATTATATTACCTTAGTTCTCTTTTAGTTATTACATTTTTTCACGTGTCGTTTGAAAGTTTATTTGTTACAATTACTAGTTTCTTTCTGGAGTTGTTCTGTTTTGAAGATGGAATTAAATACATTTTCGACTCTTAAAGCCTCTCTTTCACCAAACAGGGAAAAATACCACTGAAACAGCAGGTGGGTTGCAAAATTTAGAGATTAAAATTTATGGCAAAATGAAATTTTCAAGTCTTCAAATTAAATTTTCCAAAGACAGCAAAAGATTGTAGCACAAAACAGTGCATATATACAATAAAAAAAATTATTCCTTTAAAGAAAATTTTCAAGTCTTCAAATTAAATTTCCAAATACAACCAAAAGTTTGTACAACAAAATAAAGCACGCAGTTTACTTATTTACCTAAAAATCGTCACAAGCGCACACACGAAGAATAAAACGTTAAAATTGATCGAAATCTCAATACGAATTACCACGTCACTAATAATTTCCTATAAAAAAAATTCGATAAACGCAAATCACGAAACACTTTCGAAAACAACATGGCGGCCTCGCCACGCACCACGAATTCCGTTCTCTAATTCGGGCCTGTAATGAAAGCACTCCTTCGCAGTGAAAGCGTGGCACGAAACGAAATACATACCCGCGTATGATATTCTACACCCGGCCTCATAACGACCATCCCTCATTTGAATCCCTATGCGAACGTCACATCAAAGATATCCGAGAGGGCCATCCTACCGCGCGGTGGGGGAGTAATACCCACTGACCATAAGTCACTTATGTAAATCCGCGAGATGAAAACACGCGTCGGTTCTCGGTGTTGTGCGACGTCTACGAGGAAACAAATTGAATTTAATATTCAGCGTTTCCTGGACATGGCGTCCGCGGTCATCGCCACCGTCGCCACCGTTCACCTGTGTCCTCCTTGTTTCGCTTTTAAAGTTTCATAACGTCGCGCCGAGTGAAACTGTGGATAGAACTGGACGAAAATCACGAAATTCGAGATGATATTGGGGAACAGTGTTTGGAGGAGACAGATTCGGTAGTTCTATTCGAGAACTTCTGTGAATATTCAGGTGGTTTTCTTGTCGAGTTACGGACACGGTGCTGGAAGTGTTGAGACGATTTGAACGATTATTTTGGAGTTGTTGTTCGGATTGTAGCACGTTGAAATTTTGTGTTATACATATCGATATTCGAAGTGTATGGAAATTTATGCGACGAAGGTGGTAAATTAGATTTGTCGCTCGTTGATAATAGTTTGCTGTTTGATATATTGTATTTTAATTTTTAATTTTCAATATTAATTTCAATTTCAATTTCAGTTTTCAATTTTAATTTTTAATTTTGTATAATGTACTACGTTACAATTTTTCGAGACAATTTTACAACGGGATATACGGTGACTCTTACTAATATTCCGACACTCTTTAGAACAGTATAACTTTTTAAAAATCGGACTTAACGACTTGAGTTTTTTTGAGAAGTTAGAAGGATTAGTATACTAGATGACGCGTATAAAATTTGTTGAAAAAATTGCAATTCGTGGAAATCGCGAAGAAAATTGTAAAGGTCACATTCGACAGCTTTTTTACCTGAGCCCGTAATGAAAATTTAAAAAATACGTTTTGTAGATTTATGCCAATGATACGCATGCTGAAAATTTGATCGAAATCGGTTAATGTTACTACGAGCTACGAATCGTTAAAGATTGTGAAAATCGCACTATTTCACGTCGTTCGGCCTATAATTGTAATAAATCTGAAGATTCCTACATCTCTCGATGCCTGTCGCTTGTTTCTCCATCTACCGATTTCGATGAAATTTTCAGCATGCGTATAATTGACGTAAATCTACAAAACGTATGTTTTATATTTTCGTTACAAGCTCAGGTAAGAAAGTTGTAAACAGTGACCTTAACAATTTTCTTCGCGATTCTCACAAATTGCAATATTTTCAAAAAATTTTATACACGTCATCCAGTATACTAATCGTAACTTCTCAAAAAAACTCAAGTCGTTTGATCCAATTTCAAAAAAGTTATTCTGTTCTAAAGAGTGTCCGAATATTGGTAAGAGTCACTGTAATTACACTTAACTAAGAATATTTTAAATATTCCAGATACTACACATTATAAGATACCACACACATTTCATTGATAAATTATTAAACAGCATATCGCGCTGCAGACCAAATATTAAAACACACACCTGTGATTCAGCCGCGTAAACAGTAAATTCAATCACCAATTAAGAAGCGAAATTAACTGTATTTTTCATAAAGCCCAATTAAATTTCATCGCACTAGCCTGTGAATCACAAATTCCACTTGAACGTTCAGTTGAACTTAATCATCGCAGAAACTAATAATAGGCCATGTGTTAATAACACCTGTACAGACACTTCGAACAACGTGGAGATTAGATCACGCGATGTTCCACCGGTTATTTCCTTCTTCTCTTCATTCGAAGGCGTCACGAGGCATCGTCTGACACACGATACGATTCGTGACACATCTACAGAGTGTTTGGACAGTGAAAAATGAACGGTGGCGTTACGTTTCCCAGATATTCGAGCGGACGTTATCTAAATCGTTCAGCCTCGGGGGAGTTCGACCTCTTTATTCGTACGCGCGTCACATCTTATCACAGTAATTCGCCGCGTTTTATTTTCCCCGCTCATTGTTTCCCCGTGGCTTTTTTAATAGGTCAGTGAAAGGAACGCGAGAGGCTGAGCTCCGGCATTCAGAGCCGGGCCACAAAACAGCTTAATGAGATGCTACTCTATTTTCGCTTATTGAATTCGGCGCGGAACGGTTAGAGGGAGAGAGAAAAGGCGCGAAGGAACTACGGAGGGAAGTTAACGAAATAAGCCCGTGATTGCGGCTCGATACCAAGGCTATCGGAAGGACGCTAATTTATTTCCAGAGAATACCGCCCCTTTTCCGCTTTACATCGCCCTTTCTACCTAATTCAGGATTTCGAAGGTGAAGTAACTGATAAAAATGTTCTTTTTTTTCGGTTAATTTCTCGGTGAGTTTATTTGACGTTGATATTGTAGGAAATTTGTTTTTCGAGTCGATATTTGTGAAGTTTTTCTCGTGCAAAGGAAATCGTTGAAACGTGATGGAATTGAAGAGAATTTTTAGTTAAAAGGATCGCGGTGAATCGAAAAGCAATTTCGAGCAGAAAGCTTCAGAGTGAATCGAAAAGAAATTAAAGAGCTTGAATATTTGCGATTTACTCGGTTTTCGAAGTTTCCCCTTTTTCGAGTGAATATTTCTCTTCACTCTTTCTTTTTGTGTGCGGAGAGTATGAATAAGAGTATAGAGAATTTGTATGGGTAAGTAGTAGAATGGAAGGATTATATAGAATGTACTGGCGGACTATTATCAGCTGACCGTCTTCAGCAGAAGCCGAAATTCTCATCTCCTGGGTACAATACGTAGGTGAGGTGTTCTTGGATCGATCATAGACCTGGTGATAACATCGAACGTGACCGTCTTAGGTGATCCTGGATATGAGATTAAATTTTGCGACGTAAGCGTATTAACGGAGTCAGTATC